GAGTAGGGGTACCGGTTCTTGATAGTAATCTTGTTGAGGGCACAATAGTCGATACATAGTCTTAATGTTCCTTCTTTCTTGTGTACAAAAAGTATTGGGGTACCAAAGGGAGAAATACTCGGTCTGATGAATCCTTTGTCTGATAGCTCGGTCAACTGTTTTTTGAGTTCGTCCATTTCCATATAGGATAAATGGTAGGTGGGTCTTAATGGTAGTTCAGCTCCTAGCAGCAAATCTATGGTATGGTCAATTTTTCTTTTGGGTGGCAGTTTATTGAGCAGCTCTGATAGAAATACATTAGCAAATTCTTTAATAATGACAGCTTCTTCTAGTGAGAGTTGGGTTTCTTCGGAAGTGTCTTCCTTTTGGGTAACACATACGGCATACAATTCTTCTTCAGGGGGTGTCCTGGCAAGTTAGTGTCTGGAAATAAAAATAGAATTACATATAGAGTTCTTGTTAGCTCGGTTGACACTAGCATTGATGGTGATGTGGCACGGTCCATTTGGAAAGGATAATGTATTGACTCTACAGTCAATATTGGAGTTGACTTGAAACAACCAAGGTTTTCCTAAAATAGTATTGTATTGTTGCAAATTTAAAACTTAAGCAGAAATTCCAGAGGTGTGGTATTGGTTCAACTCCAACTTCTTGATCTTTACTTCGGTGGAGACTTCTTTTTTTGGCTGTCAGCCAGTTCCACAGTAAAGGGTTTGGTTTGTTCTTTTAACAGTCATCGTTGATTAGCAAATTTCTCGTCAATAAAATTCTTGGAGACCCCACTATCCAACAGAATCCAGGCGGGATGTCCATCAATCTTCCCATTAAAACGAAGTAGTTGTTCTCAGTTTTCTTCAATGTAGATAAACTCAACATCTGGGAAAGTGGTTTGTTCTTCTATTATAGTGACTTTGGCTTTGGTTTCAATTTTCTATGATTGGCAGTCTCGGGCGTAGTGGCCCATCTTTCCACAATTTTAGCATTTTACTTGTTTCTTCTGATGCTGGCTGCTAATGGATGGTTTCCTATAGGTCTCGATACGGTCTAATTCTATTGGGATTGGTTTGGATTATTGGTCTCTTCCTTGAGGTTGGTATCCTCAGATGGTAAATTTTTCCGTCAGTCATCCCAGGCCAAACATGGCAGTGTCATATCGGCTTGCAATTTGGATAACTTTGTCAAGAGTTTCCGGAGACTTGTAACTCACTTCCATTCTGGTTGCGGGCTTCAATCCTTCTACAAAATAGGCAACTCGGTCCAATTAATGCATATCATCAATTTGGCTTACCAGGTTCCTAAATTGGAAGGTATATTTCTGTATGGTTTCCGTTTGGAGCAGGGTTTTAAGTTGACGATGCAGATGTTGTTAATAGTGTGGGGGTTGGAAGTATACATGTGGTAGAAATAGGTAGATCCTTGACGCAATTGACGCAATTATTTGACGCAATTAATTAAGTCACTATTAAAACATATAAAATAATTGAGTCAGACGCAATTATTTTTGAGGATTTTGATAATTGAGTCAATAGCAAAATAATTTATACCACATGTATAGTTGGAAGGCAATTTGAAGTTCTTTCTTGAACTGGTTCCACCCAGTAAAAGTGGTGGTAGTGAAATCCTTGATTTTGTTAACAAACCAATGAAAGGCGGCATCCTCGAATCCCATAGCAGCATAGTATACCATTTGTCCTTCTTCTTTAACTCCTTGTGTGTATAGAATATTCTTTATTTGGCACAGCCAGACTTTCATATTTTCCCCAGGTTCTCCTTTGAACGTAGGGATTCTCAAAGATATTCTAGGCACTGTAGTAATAGTGATTAAAGAACTTGACCCAGCGGTTTGTTTTCTCTTTTCTACTGTAAGGATTTTCGGGTTTCTTGAAAGGTCTTTATGAATGTTGCAAATTGGGTGGCATCTATTTTTGGTAGAATTTTGCTTGGGGTTTTCTTTTGCAAGGAGGAAGTTTTTTGAATCTGCTGCTACCAAGTTGTAAAAGTCTTAAATAAATTATTAGTGATTTAAAAAGACTGAACTTTAGCAATTGTAATTTAAATGCCAACAGAATTGGGACTTTATTAAGGTCAAAAAGACATCCTTTTATACATGTCGGCTTCATACAAATGTAAAAATACATAAATAAATAAATATAAAAATACATATATCTATATTGGACTTAACCTTTGAAGACATATATATTTAATTAACATAATGAAACAAAAAAATAAATAAAAAGAAATAAAAGGAAAAAGATATGTATACTCTATGACCTTATACTTCTAATTTGGTTATATTGACTCATAGTAATTAATTAGTGGTGCTTGGTGGCATGTCATATTGTCAGGGTCAGAATCACATCATACATGCGTCTGACTATCGTCTGGGAACATATCTCAGACTTGTAGGTCATCAAGGTGGATCAAATACCTTCTGGGGCATCCAGTTAACAGGGCGCAGTAGGAGTTCCATGGCACAGTCATAGTCAGTATTGTTACAGGAAGCTTAATATTTTTTAGCTTTTAAAATAATAATAAAATTATTTGATTTATCAGATATAATCTGACTTCCTAAAGATTCCTATAGTATTTTAGAAAAATATTTAACTTGACATTGATTTAACTATAAGATTGATAATAGGTTAAGACTTCTTGAAATTTAATTATAAATTAGAAGGTTTTGTTTATATTCTTTTGAATATAAAAATTGTATGTTTTCTTTTTTCTATATAATAAATATAAAAAATTAATTTTTAATATAGTATTATATCTATGTTATTTGTTTTTTTTATATATTCTTGATGTTTTTTAAATATATAAGTTTTTAATTAAAATATAAAAATTTTTTGTTTTTGTTAAAGTTTTTCTAAAATAAATTTTGAAATAAATATGAAATAGTTTTTTAATATAAATAATATTATTTATTGTTATAATTGTTGTTTTTATTATATTAGTATAATAAATATTTAACTATTAATAATATTTTTTTTTTTAAGGTGAACATACATTGATATGAATCTTTATTGATACATAATATCTAGATAGACATCAAGTGTCTTCTATATATGAAAATATGTTTAATTGAAATGATTTTATATTATGATATCTTATATATATAGAATTAACATTGCCTATTGACTATTTCTAGTAATAGTTTACCTAATTACCTTTATTAATTCAGTTATGTCAACTTACATCTCGGAAGTGGATTCATACTCTGGATGGAACAAATTTAAGAGGTGAGAAGTCCTGCCATTAGTTTAAATTTACTTTCTTGTTAGATTCAGATTCGGTAACCTTGTGACTACTTATGGTTAAAGAACTATAGAATGTTATTATAGAGACTGATCCCAATCACTTTAGTCACCTGTTATCACTAGTCCTCAAGATGTATCACTAGCATAGCATAGTACAACTGTTCTTACCACCTGTGGTCATGGTATCCTTGCTTGGATTCTTGATTATCCTTGTTTTAGTCCTTAATAGACTCACTTGGCTTAATGATTTTTACTTATCTTCTCATCACCTGTAGCTGATGATCTTGCCTTGTGTGACTCATATTTTTAAGCTCGAAGAGTATTAGTATAGGATAGATCTCAAAATATCAAATTGGGATAGACTAGTTTAGGATCTGCCTCTTTTGTTTGTACTTGTGCTATGAAGTCTGTCATGCCAGGGGGTTGAGTTTGTGGACTTTTATCAGAATTAGACCAGAAGCCTTTTCTTATACAACCTTTTTTGCTTCACCTGTTTTTAGCCTATGATCATCAAAAAGACCAGAGGTCCCATCTAAAGATGGGTCCCTAAAATATTTAGCATATAAAATTTACGTCCCTTTACGTCCACGTCCCCTAGAGGACATAATTCCTAGCTCTTTATTTTAATAGGGATATAATTCCAGAAATGATTTGTATAGATGCTTAAAACTATAAAGAACCTTTGTAGGTAGTTTTTTTTTATTTCTTAATATAGAAATGAAAATTTTTAATAATAAGGGACATTTGAATTATGTCCTCACAAATAATTTAGGGACCCATCTTTAGTCCCATTTTCATATAGCCTAACTGAATATGGATGTGATTCGAATGTCTGGGTACAATATTTGTGACAATTCGGTAAATCCACAAATGAAGAATAAATTTATACATTTGTCTCTTGTGAATACTAAACTAGGGATACGCATTTAGAGACCATGGAGTACTACCTACTGTACTATTGATCCACTGGTTAACTATTAATAATATTAAATACTTTTATTAATAAATAATTTATATAATTAGTAATAAAAAATCTTTCAATGATTAAATAAACATTTCAAATACTTGTTTGATTATGAAAAAAAAATAATAATAATAAGTAATAAAAATAAATTAAATTAAAAGATTCTAACAAATTCTTTTATAAAAATTCTTTTTTTTCTTATAAAATTTACTATATAATATAATCATTATAATTTTTTTTTTCTTTTCCGTTTTTTTAATTTATATTTTATTTTGAATAAATAAAAGAAGCCACTTAGTATCTTTTAGTATAATATAGTTTTTTTAAATATACGTTGAAAGATTTAATAGACAAGCTAATATTAAATTTAATGTATTTATTATATCTAAAAATTATTTATTCTTTCTTCATATATTTTTTATATCTTTATATACTGCTATATAATAAATAAGGAAATAAGTTTTTTCACTAAAAAAAGAAAAAGAAAAAATAATTAATATTTATAAATTGACTGTTAAGCCAGATAGAGTACTAATATTATTAACAATATTAATCGAATTAAAAAGAAACATATAATAGTAGATAATCAATTTCATGTAATTATTCACAAATTTCTAGTTAACGAAGAAATTTATTATATAATTAGTAGTTGTACATAATTATTTCTGGAATTAGATAATCTATCTAATGTCCGGATTGGCTGAAATTGAAAAAAACTGCCATTTTTGTTTGGTCTTATAATGAACATGATACGTTACCTAACAGAATTTTTGTACTTTGAAATGTTTGAAAAGTCATTAACGGACCTTATTCGCGGCATCCGTGCTAACAAGAAGAATGAACAAAAGTACATCGCTTCATGTCTACAAGAAATTCGCCAAGAAGTAAAAAGCAATGATCCAGACGTTAAGGCGATTGCTGTTTCAAAGCTGACCTATGTACGTGATTTCAATTTTAAGCATTAGTCGAACGACCTATAAAGTAAAAAACGTAATTCGAAGTTCGTGCTCATGTTTATCGATCCTGGTTCCGTTATAATTAACGCGAAGAACATCTTTTACCTTCGATACGTTTATAGCTTCAAATGCTTGGATACGATATGTCGTGGGCTTCCTTTCACGTAGTAGAGGTCATGTCATCTTCCAAATTTCCTCAAAAGCAATCAGGATACTTGGCGGCAACACAGTCCTTTAGACAGGATACCGACGTGCTAATGCTGACCACGAACCTGTTGAAAAAAGTAAATATTAAATAAGTAGTTTTAGTCAGCCATTACGGATATGGTGTAACTGTTATTATTCATAGGATCTCGCGTCGGGAAATCAACTTGAAGTAGGCGTTGCTCTTAATGGATTATCTCATATCGTCACACCAGACCTTGCTCGCGATCTGTGTCAGGACCTAGTTTCTATGCTCAGTCATTCTCGTCCTTATGTACGAAAGAAAGTTGTTCTTGTTCTTTATAAGCTTTTCTTGAAATTCCCAGAAGCCTTAAGAATAAGTTTTCCACGATTAAAAGAACGACTAGACGATTCTGATTCATGTGGGTTCTTTTACACTTGAGATTTCATAACCGTCTTTCTGGGACTTTCGTACTTACCAAAATATGTAACCTGTAGCGGTTGTATGCGCGGTTGTAAACGTTGTATGTGAACTTGCAAAAAAAAATCCAAAAAACTATTTGTCTCTTGCTCCACAGTTATTCAAGTTATTAAACACATCAACGAACAACTGGATGCTTATTAAAATCATAAAATTGGTAGGTCCGGAAATGATATAATTGCTCTAAGGGACGACGCGACTAAAATTATATGTACACTTTAAAGTTTGGTGCTCTGACACCACTCGAGCCCCGTCTCGCAAAAAAGCTTTTACCACCGATCACACACCAAATACAAACAACACAAGCAATGTCATTGTTATATGAATGTATACACACGGTGATTACAGGTGACATGCTGACACTTGGTGGAAGTTCGGATGCTCTTGCGGCGATGTGTGTCAGCAAGTTGAGAACATTTTTGGAAGATGTGGATCAAAATTGTATCTTTTTATTATTTAGTTAAACTTATAATTAGAATAAAATTATGTTCCCTTGACCGATGAGATTTACCGTTTCAGTGAAATATGTTGGACTTCTAGCGTTAGCCAAGATTCTTCCGACGCATCCAAAGCTAATATCCGAACATCGAGACATTATTCTGAAATGTATTGACGATCCGGACATTAGTATTCGCCTTCGCGCTCTAGACTTGGTGGTTGGAATGGTAATAATGTTCACCACCGTACCCTCTATTATGTAAATATATTAACCTGACACAATTGAATTGCTTTTTAAGGTAAATAAGAAAAACCTCTCTGACATTGTCAAGCGATTGATGTCTCACCTCTTGCCAAGTAATAATAATAACGATGACAACAACAATAATGATAATAATGGGTCATCTACTAGTTATCCACCTCCATCAACGTTGTTTGAACCAGCCTATCGAACCGATATCATAAATCGCATAATATTCATTTGTTCCCAAAACTCATATAGTAACATCACAAATTTTGAATGGTATATTGCTGTGCTAATTGATCTCACGAATATTGCTGGTGTCAATGTTGGTAAACTTTTAACGTCACAAATAATGGATGTCGGTGTGCGTGTTAAAAGTGTACGACAATACTGCGTTAAGACCATGGTAAAGGGATTTGAAATAGTTTTTTCCGTTTTACGTGACAATTTATGGCATCTTATGAGATTATGGTTTAACCTTTTCTACTTAGCAACGGTTACTTTCGGACAAGAATATTTTGGAAAATTGTAAACTTCCACATACCAATGCCGAGGTTCTTTATGCCGCGGCGTGGATAACTGGAGAATATTGCAGGTTTTGATCCTATCGATATTGTTGAAATTTATTTATCGCGCTAACATATTATTCCTACAATAGTTATTTGGAAAATCCTCTTGAAGCGATGGAGTATCTCGTTCAACCTGGTATTACAAAACTTTCGCATAATGTACAGGCCGTGTATATTCATAGTATTTTGAAAATATACGCATATTGGGCAAATAACCTTTCATACAATTGGAATGATGATGCAAAACAAGAATTGGCGCGGTTTACCTTAACATTAAAGGAAAAAGTTGGAATGTTCTGTTCGTGTTCGGATTTAGAAGTACAAGAACGAGTAATTATATTTATGCCTCGTGTGAATGAAGTTTTCTTAATACATTTTCAGGCTCTCAACAATTTGCATTCTTTTTTGGCATTTCTTAATATAGGCATACAATATACGCGAAATATTTTCTATAATTTGTGAGAATTTGACGTCGGCGCCCAAAAATAACTATCTTGCTCTTGGAAAGCCCCCTCAAGTTATCTCTGAAATCCAATCACTTTTCTTTGCTTACGAGCTTAACCCTGTAGCTCCCAAAGCTCAAAAGAAAGTACCCATTCCCGAGGGACTAGATTTGGACGCATGGATAAATGAACCGCTTCCAGAATCGGCGAATAGCGAAAGCGAAGAAGAAGAGGA